CCCCGACTTTCTGATTTGTATGTATGTATGAGTGTGTGTGTGTGTATGTGTGTGTGGTTTCAGGTTTCTATCGGGTGCCCAAAGGATGCCCTTTAACATTTCTTGTAGTATAGATTTGCTCATGATTAATTCTTCAATCTCCTTATGTCTGAAAAATTCCTAATTTTATCTTTGTCTCCAAGTGACATTTTTACTCATAAAGAATGCAGGTTGGCAGGTTTTCTTTTCTCAGTATTGTAAAGAGATTGCTCCACTGTCTGGCATGCATTGTTTTCATCCAACAGGACGTCAACAGAACATCCTTTCCTTTGCTCCTGTGTACAAATTTTTCTCCGGGATACTTTTTTTTTTTTTTTAAAGATGTATGGATTTGAGAGAGAGAGAGAGTATAGGAAGAAGGGCAGAGAAAGATGGAGAGAGAATCCCAAGCAGACTCCCCACTGAGCACAGAGCCTGACATGGGGCTCAATCCCACAACACTGACGTCAGGACCCAAGCGAAACCAAGAATTGGATGGTTGAAAGACTGAGCCACCCAGACGCCCCATCTCTTGAATACTTTTAAGCTATTCTCTTTATCACTGTTCTTCAGCATTTTGAGAATAATGTACATGCTTTAGTGTAGTTTTCTTCATGCTTCTTGTGCTTAAGTTTTGTTGAACTTTTGGCAATTATGGGTTTATGGTTTTTATTACATTTATAAAAATTCTGGCCATTTTCTTAAGATACTTTTCTTTCTCACCTCCATGTCCTATCCTCTGGGGACTCCAATCCACCTATAATTTACCGTGTGGGGTTGTCCAATGGCTCACTAACACTGTTCATTTTTCTTTTCTGTCATTTTTGTCTCTGTGTTTCATTTGGATAGTCTTTATTGCTATGACTTCAAGTTCACAATTTTTTCTTGTGCAATATTCTATCAATCACATTCAATGTAATTCTTTATCTCAGATGTTTTAAATTTCATTCCTAGAAGCTCATTTGAGGCTTTAAAAAATCTTCCATGTCTCTAGTTAACATATTCAGTCTTTCCTCTAGCATCTTGAACACATGGAGTGTAGTCACAGTAGGTGTGCCTACTAACTCTCACCTTTGTCACATCTGAGTTAATTTTGATTTATCCCCCCATATGAATTATAATTTACTGCCTTTCTTCATGCCTAATGATTTTTGGTTGTAAAACATTTGTATTCTACATTTTGGGGGGGCTGGATGGCTTTCCATTTCTGTAAACATCCTTATAATTTCTTTCTGGGATGTAGTTAAGTTACTTGGAACTTGTGTGACCCTTTTGGGTCTTGTTCTTTTTTTTTTTTTTTAATTAACATATAATGTATTATTTGTTTCAGGGCTCCAGGTCTGTGATTCATCAGTCTTACACAACTCACATGGCTCACCATAGCACATACCCTCCCCAATATCCATCCCCCAGCTATCCCATCCCTCCCACCCCCTCTCCTTCAACAGCCCTCAGTTTGTTTCCTGAGATTAAGAGTCTCTTATGGTTCGTCTCCCTCTCTGGTTTCGTCTTGTTTCATTTTTCCCTCCCTTCTTGGGTCTTGTTCTTAAGCTGTGTTGGGCTGGACTGGAACTACATGTAGCCTAAGGTTGATTTTTCCCTGCTACTGAGGCAAAACTCTTCTTTCTACTCTAACTGATGCCCCTTAACTTAGGGGTTCTCAACCCTGGCTGTCCAATGCAGACACTGTTCCCACCCTCTCTGGGCTAACCTTTCTGGGTGGCTCTTCCCCTAAGTTGGGGGTAGCAGCTTATAACCAGCTGACACCCCTGTAGATCCCTGGGGTCCCCTGTCTGCATAGCTACCTCCTCTCCAGGATTCTGCCCTGTGAACTCTGGCCACCTTGCCCTCGTGGGACTCCCTGCTCTACCCCTAACCCGAGGGAGAACCCTGGGGTCTGCCTGGATCCCCACTGCCTCCACCGGCCCTGGAGACTGTCTCCAGGCAGGGAGTAGGGATGGCCATTTGTTTCCCTTCTCTCAAGGATCACTGTCCTTTGCTGTGTAATTTTCTGTGTTTTGAGTGCTGTTTTTCACATATATTTATCGTTGCCCCCCTTTTTTCTTTTTCCTGCTTCAGGCAAGAGCATGTGAACCTGGTCCCCGTTCCTTCAGCTGGAGCAGAAGCCTGCACATCAGCTGGTTTCTATTCCTGCCGCACTTTCCGCCACCTGGCGCATTTCTCAGTCAGGACACCTTCTACTAAGATGCCATCTCTTAGTGGGGATGTGGGCCTTGTCCTGCTGGCAGAACCCCACATCTCTGCCCCACTGACAGAACCTGGCACAGGGCTGGAGGCAGCTTGTCATGGTGGAAGGAGAATATGAAGAGCAACATATTTTGGGGGGCTCACCTGTGCCAGGCATGTGAGAGACAGAAACTCTTGCAACCTCCATGACAATTCTGTGGGTCAGACAGTGGATGAGGGTACTGAAACAGAGAGGTGAGCCAAGTGCGCTAAGTCTTAGTGATAAAGGGGCAAGATTAGAACCGGTTTGGTATTTCAGGTCAGTTGTCATGAAGGGACAGTGGGAGCTTGCCAGTGGGAGGGCTTCCTGGAGGAAGTGGCCTGGGCTGAGCATTCAGGCAGACCTGCCTCCCACCTGGGGAGCCCCAAAAGGTGCGCCTAGGGGCCGGGAAGTGGCGAGGCAGGGGAGGGAAGCTGGGTGCCCTTTGGTGGGGGCTTACCTCCTTCGGTGCTTCCGCCAGGGGGCAGCTTGTCCTGGAACAGGGAAGGGGGCCAGCAGCACTGGGTGCCCCAGAGCCGTTCCTTAGGACCCTACCGAGTACTCACCGGGTGGGCCACGCCTCCTCGCCCCCCTCCGCCCCTGCCTGGGGCTGCTTATAGGCCCATGAACCCTCCCCACTGCCCACCTAGCCCCACGCTGCACTGGACGGCCTCGCATGCTGCCCACATCCTTATTTCTGATCACCCCCCCGCCCCCAACTTGAGAACCGCCTTTTCACACAGCTGTCTTTGGCGGCCTACACACCTGTTGGAGGGTTTCACGCTCCAGTTGTGTCTCCTCACAAACCTGTTCCTGAAGTCTGGGGCAGCCTTCGAGCTAACCAAGACCCACTCCACCCACTTGCCCATTTTGTCCCAGAGCACCTGTCCATGACCCCCGAGTCCAGCTCCCGCCGACCCTCCCTTCCCAGGAGGGCCCTGAATCAGCAATCCTTGCTTCCTCCCCATAGGCAAGGCCTGAATCAAGTACGTGAGGGCTACTCAGGTCTGCCTTTGGGCCCTCACTCAGGGTACAGACAGGACAAGGCTGGGCTGGGCTCGCCTCTACCCATCCATGAAGTGCCTACACTGGTCTGGAGACAGGATTTGGGACCCTGCCTTCTCACTTGCTTGGGAAGGGTGGGCATTCTGGGCCTTGATAGGCCCCAAACCCTGACTGTTGACACTCCCTCACCCAGCTCTCCTCTGCCTTGGGAATGTTCCTCTGCAAGACCTCTGCAGTTTCAGTCTTCCCTGGAAGGCTTCCTGGAAGAGGGGACTCCTGAGCAGAGAGAAGCTGTTCCAGTCAGGGTTCCTGATGGAGCAGCATGGCGAGAGGGTACTAAAAGGCTCCTGCATGGGGGCAGGTGTGTATGTGTGTGTGTTGGGGGTATTATTTGGCCAGAGTTTGTGGGGGAAGGGGATGTGGTTAGGACCCAGGCATCCAGGGCCTCAAGGCTTGTGGGGTTTATGATGAAGGTATTATGGAACCACAGCAAGATCACAGTTGTATTTTAAAATGATGATTGTCCGTTCCAGTGAAGCGACAGTGGAGGGGAAGCCGAGGAGAGCCTGGCCCCCTCCTCAGATCAGAAAGGATGGGGAGGAAGCCCTGGAGGGTGAAGGCGGGGAGGCATCTGAGTAGGCAGATGTTGAGCAGGCCAGGGATGTTGGGGAGGGGGCGGGGGGCGGGTGGGGGGGCAGTGTGCAAAAAGGACACAGTAAAGCAGGCTTCCAAAGCACAGTTTGGAAGCACAGTCAGTCCCTGCTGACTGCCCATGGGGAAATCTTGGGCGAACTACCTGCCTTCTCTGTTTTTCCGCTCCCTCACCTGTGTCAGGTGACAGCGAGGCACCTGCCTGCCTCTGAGGATTAAAGAAGTCGTGATGTGTGTTGGTCTCTATTAGTCTTGTTAATGTCCTTGGGGTTACCATCATAGTGGCAGGCCTGAAGCCCCAGGTGGGCATACCTGCCTTCGGTCAGGGATGCCACCATGACCCTGGGCACAGGGCAGAACTTCTATGCCCCACTTCACCAGAGATCTGTTCCCCTCTGCCAGAACCACTTGGGACGGGAGCTGGGTCTTGGATCTCTTCACTGCTCCCAGGGGCTCCCCGGGGACCTGGGCCTCGAGGGAGCCCTGCGGCCATCCCGTCCGCCCCTCCCGGGAAACCAGGGATGGCCTAGCTGCGGTCGGGGCTGGCCCGAGGTCAGGCGACCATGGGCTCGACCAGGGCCAGCGCTGGGGGTACCAGGAATGCTCAGGCACGGTGGGTGCAGGTATGGGGTGGGCGCCGTGGCACCCAGGGGAGCGCGGGACAAGGTGGGGAGCTGCGTGGGGGGGTGGGAGCCGGGGTGGCGGTGGGCCTGGCTGGGGTGGCAGAGACGAACGGGTCAGGGGCGGGGGGGCGTGGCGTGGCGGGGGTGGGGTGGGGTGGGGGCGGGACGAGGGCGGGGAGGGGATGGCTGGGACGGGTAGGGCGGACTGGGACGGGGGGCCGGGCCCGGCCGGGGGCGGGCAGAGGGCGGGGGCGGGGGCGGGGCCGCGCCCCAGGGAGCCGCCCCGCCCGCAGGCCGCCCGCACCGCGAGGGTTAAGGCCCAGAGCCCCGCGGGCGGGGCGGGAGCGCGCGGATTGGGGGAAAGTTTGGGCGCGGGGCGGGCGCGGGGCGGGCGCGGGGCGAGCCAGGGCGAGCCGATTGGAGGGAAGTTGTGTCGGGGCGGGGCGCGCGGCGGGCTCGGCTCTCGCTCCGGGAGAGTTGACAAAGCCCCGCAGGGAAGGACGCCTCGCGGCGCGGCGCCCCGGGCCCCTCGCCCCGCCGCCCCGGGACCCCGGCCCCGGCCTCCAGCCCCTGGACTCGACCCCTCCTCCCGCGCTGCCTCCGGACACCCGCCTCGGCGCCGGTCCTGGCCCGAGCCGCCCGCGCCCAGGTAGCGCCGCCCCGTCCCGAGGCCGGGCCCGGGGGCGCGGGGCGCCGGGGTGCGGCGCCCGGGGCGGCGATGACCGCGCAGCGCGTCCCGCGGGCCCGGCCCTGAGCCCCGCTGCCTGCCTGCCCCGCCGAGGTGAGACCCTCCGCGCGCCCGCGACCCCCGGGGGGCCGACTGGGAGGGCCTGCTGGGGAGGATCGGGGTCCGGGGTCCGGGATCTGGCCGGGGGCTGGGAGGGTACGGGTTCCGGAATACAGTGTGTGAGGCCGCCGGGCACCGCACGCGCCGCCGCCGACCCTGCCCCGCCAGTGGTCCTGTCCGCGCCCCGCCCCCGCCCCTGCACCCCACGTGGGCCCCCCCAAGCGCAAATTTGTCCGCTAATGGCGCAGGCGATTATGTGCGCGGCCGCCGGTGTTGTGTGTCCCGCGGGCAGGGCCCGAGTTACAAGCGCCAGGAATCCAGACGGTGTTTAGAGACGGGGGGCGGCGGGGGAGGCCGGTAATTAGTGTAAACCCTTTGTCTGCCTTTGATACCCGCGGTGCTCCCCGCCGCCGCTTCCTCCGCCCGGAGCGCTGGCAGGGAGGGCGGGGAGGCCCGCACCCAGACCCTCGCAGCCCGGGACTGGGGTGCTGGCGGCCCCGGGGCCCTAGGCTAGAGGGTGGCGACTCCTACCCTGTACGCCAGTGACCGACCCTCAATACCTCCAGGTCCGGACGGGCCAAGATGACGCCCAGCCCCACGTTGTTGCTGCTGCTGCCGCCGCTGCTGCTGGGGGCCCTCCCGCCGGCCGCCGCCGCCCGAGGTGAGTCCTGGCGCCCAGCCCGGCGCCCCGGCCTGCGCCAGCGCCGCCCCTTTCCCTCCCGGGCCTGAACCCTGCCACAGTGCCCGGCTGGCGCGCGTGCCTGCGCCCCGCCCCTACTGGCCGGGAGCTTGGTGGGTCTTCTCACCCTCTGGGCCCCCAGGCTCAGCCAGAAGGTACATCCCCCTTTGCCCGTGGGGTGCTCCAGCTCACTCCCAGCTCACCCTTGGGACTCTATGCTCACTGAGGGGGCACACCTCACCCGCAGGGCCCCTCTCACCCAAAGATCACCCTGGCTCACCTGTGGGACCCCACACTTGCTGGTAGAGTGGACTCTGGCCCCAGTGCCTCTCAGGACACATGCATATTTGTATGTGTACCTGAGGTTGAGGGCAGTTGGTTACCCTGAGGATTTTTGTGGGGTAGGCTGTTTGGCACAATGAAACCAGTTAGGCCCCTATGAGGACCCAACTAGACCCAGAGACCCCCATGGTGGCCAGGGTGCGGTTTGGGGACAGTGGGGACATTGTTAGTGTCTGGGACTCATGACCCAGCCCTGTGCCCTGAGCTGGCTCATCCCTGGGAAGATATAGGGTGGGGGGCTGGGGGATTGAGTGTCTGGAACATGGAGTTGCTGCATGGTGTAGGGGGTGGGGGCTTGTCTCCAGGCAGACCCAGAGGACCACCTGCTTCAGGCTACATACTGTGTATGGGCGTGTTCCATTCCAGGACTCAGATGCAAGCTCACACACCTGATGTCCCAGTGGGCAGGCCTGCAACGTCTCCCGAGGGACGCTCGCCCCTGTACCCAGCCCCAGCAAGGTATAGCCTTGGCTGACGGGTGATGGGACATAAGCGTTCACGGACTCCCGCCCGCCATCTTCTGCACTGGCCTCTTCTCGGCTAGGCGGGCCCTTTGGCCGGGCCAGCCCTTTGGGTGTGTTGACCACTCAGGAACGTCCCTGCCCTGTCCACCAGTCCTCTGAGGCTTCGCACCCCTCCCCCCGCCACCCAGCGGGTACACCGAGCCCAGCCCGGCCTTATATGGGCACGTTCGGGAGTTGGGTGGCAGGCGGCAGCCCAGGTGGGCCTAATGCCACAGTACCCCCCCGCCTGCCCGGCTAGGGACTGGCCTGGTGGCCTGGTGGGGGCTGCCCAGGCGTGGCTGGGCCTGGCAGTGTCCTGGGCACGGCAGGCACTCAGGTCATATGCAGCAAGGTCCCCCCGCCCGCCAGTGGCCGGCAGCCTGGATTCTGATCCCTCTTTCATCTGCTTGGACTCCCCTCGATCCCACACCTGCCTGTCCTCTGGCTGCTCAGCCAGGGAGCTCTGGAGGCCGCTGGCCTGGCCTGGTCATAGGCTGGATCCTGACACAGAGTGGCGGATGGCAGCAATGGCGGCGGGCAGCAGGGCCTGCCTCAGTGCCAGGGGACCCTGGAGGGGCCACACCCTGCTCTGTTTCCCTCAGCCTTGGCCTTGGGACTGCGCCTCGTCTCCAGCCTTGGCCCTCATGCCGGGTGTGCACTGCCCTGGCACCCACTCTCCAAGGGCAAGGTCCTGTGTGGCTTTGGGGGTGGGGTATGAGGTCCCTGTTCCTGAACAGTGCTGGCTTCCCCTCCAGCCTGGCCTTGAGGGGCACGGTCACTCTGGGCGCGCCCCCAGAGGGCCAGGCTGTTTGCCGAGAGCCATCTTCCCTGTGCGTCACGCTCTCCACAGTTAGCCCGTCTCTATACCAGATCATGTTTTCAAAGTTCCCCTTTCTGAAAGTTTCACAATCAGGGTGGGTTTGTCTTCAACAGCATTTTCTAAATTGGAGGGAAGATAGGATTTGGGTTTCTCACATTGGGAACTTGAGCAGCTCCGCTGACCTTGCCCTTCCCAGAGAGCTCTAGAACTTGTGGAAGGGCTTCTCTGGTTTGAGCTTTTCCACAGGGGAAGCAGTGGACAGGTCTCTGGACAGCCAGCCCTCGAAGTCACCTTCCTGTCCCCTGGACTGTGCTGGTGTGCCCTGGGAGAGCCTAGTGCTGCCCCTGGGGCCAGGCGCTGGCTGCTGGATGCCCCACGCCACGAGCATAGTGACTTCTTGCTGTCTGGGCTGCGTTGGGAAGGGCCCACCAGTGTGTGTGAGGGCGTGCGGAGGACGCGCGGCCGTCAGGAGGGCTGTCGTCGTGTGCGTGTGCGCTGGCTGACCTTGCTTGGCCTCTGGCCAGGCTGCAGGGGCCTCCCCCCACCCCGCCAGGCAGCCCCAGCTGAGGTGGATGTGCGGGAGCTGGGCCCAGGCGCTGTGAGGTGGGGATGCAGGCCAGCCGCCCCATTTATGTCTCGGGCCCCACTCCTGGAAGAGAAAATAAATCACTGTCCCCTCTGGGGGGAGGAGGGAGCCATGAACAAAGTCGCCTTTGGCTGGGCCTGGAAACTCCTACCGCAGGCTCCTTCTTCATTGTGCGGGAATCAATGGGCTTTCAACCCCCGCCCAGTGCCATGGGGAAATGTTGGTTTTTCCCAGCAGTGGCCTCAGCCTCCGGCCTGGGGTTTGGACACTGCTAAGAGTGCTGACGGAGGCAGGCAGTGGTCCTGGTGGGCCGGGAGTCTCGCTGCTGGCCGCGTTGCTGCTGGTGGCGGGCCTTCTGTGCCATTCCAGTGACGGTAGCCCTGGCATGTCCAGGACACAGCCTCTGGCCCATGCTGCCACCCCACCCTGCCTGCCATCTGTCTTTCAAGTGGTGGTCACTGTGTGCTCCTGGTCAAGCCTGTGGGTGTTCAGTGTGGCTACTCTTGGGGCCCGAGGGCAGTGGGAGCCACTGTCCTGGGCTAGTTCAGGCTAGGTCTGCATCCAGACGGTCCACAGTCCAGGAAGGCTGGGGGAGGGGTTTGGGGGCATGGGGAGAGACGTGGGCAGCACAGCCTGGAAGGAGGTATGGGTACTGGTCAGGTGGTGGGAGAATGGCCTCTGGGTGGAGGAAGAGCGTGGGGCAGAGGTGGGTGGGTCGCACTGACCAGGGTGGACATCTTGGGGCTGCAGACACCCTGGTGTAGCTGGATGGGGGCCAGGAGTGGGAATAGGCCAGGACTGGGCTGAGAGGCTGGTTGGCTGGGGTGCAGGGAAAAGGGGTTGGGGACATCCTGGGGGCTAGCTTCCTGTCCCCAGGGAGTTGCTGGGCCAGGGCCTCGAGGCTGGTGGGCCTGGGTCCCTTTGTCCCACAGGAACCGGCCCCCTTGGGGAGAACCAGCATGAGTCAGGGGCTCCCAGGTCTGTCACTGGAATGCAGGGGATAGTGTGGCAGGAAGGTGCTCCAGCCTGGGGCCTGCTGATGCCCAGGGCTTCCCTTCATGGCAGGAAACAATGGCTTTCTTCCCCAGTTTGTTAGAGATTTACACAAGTCCTGCACTATGAAGAGATAACGGGGCCTGGGGCAGCAGGTGGTGGAGAGGATGCTGTGCCCAGCTCTGGCCTGGGACTGCCCTGGGCGGTGATCTCCTCTGACCCCACCATGCTGAGTCTCAGGACAGCCGGGCCACTGGCTGGCCCTGGCACTCTGTAGCAGCCTGCCTGGTCTGGTGGGGACCATGGGCTTCACTGTGGAGCCCGGCAGCGGGTGCTGTGTGCCCTGCAGCCTATGGAGATCTCAGGAGTCCCAGTGTGCCACAGCCTCGTACCTATAGTCTGTCAGCAAGAAGCTGGCTGTGGGCTGTTGGCTGGGACCCTGGGGTGGGTGAAGCTGGTGTGGGTGGGAGTACGGGGCTCTGTGGCCTGGGGCTTGGGCCGTCCGGTGCTTGAGCCCTCACAGTGAGGAGCAGCACTGGTGCCAATCTCTGACCTGGGGTTCCAGGCTAGGAAACACCGTGTCACATGGGTTCAAGCCCATGGCAGGCAGGGCCCTGGGTGTGCTGGGCCTCTTGTCCTGTTACCCTGTCCCCAGGGTCTAGCGCCAGCTTGTGAGGGAGACCCAGGGGACCAGGTCCTTCTTGGCTCCGGGGCTGGGGCTGGGGCTGGGCCCCTCTAGGGAGGTGGTGATGCTAGACCAGTTCTAGGTGCATGATGTTTTTCTGAGGTGGGGGAGGGGAGCAGGTTTCAGCTTGGAGTCTGTGGACTTGGCAGGCTCTGGACGCAGCCCCCGGGGTGTGGCACTGAGCCCTCTAGACTGGTCCTGGGGCCGTGGGTGTTGGGTGTGGGTGCCGTTAGCTGTTGGCAGTTCCTGTGGGGACCCTCTCACCAGGGCAGCAGCCTGTTAGGGAATGCTCTGTGGCCCCCGTGTGTGTCTTGGGAGTGGCAAGGAGGAAGAGCCCTGGTCAGGGCTGGGCTGGAGGTCTGCCTGGGGCTTCCAGGGCTGGGGACAGACCTGGAGGGTCCTCCCACCGGCCTGTCGCCTTCCATGGTGCTGCTCCCCGGGCGGTGTGTCGGGCCGGACACCGCGAACAGCTTGCTGACTCAGTGGGTCAGGCTGTCCCTTTGTTGCACCCAGACGGCCTGGCTTCTAGGGCAACTGCCCGCCCTGTGGGTCCTACCAGTTCCATGGATAGATCCCATGAGTCCAGCCCAGGGGCCGCCCTGGGCCTGCTGGTGATTGGGAGCCTGTGTGTGTGCGTACGTGTACCAGAGTGGCTCAGAACCAGGGCGGAGGCTAAGCCCTGCCTCTCTTGGCTGTCCTGGGGTGGTCTTCATCTGGGCCCCCTCTTTTCAGCCTCCCAGCCCTTGTCTTCTTGGGGAGGGCACTGGCCCCAGGTCCGCCTCTGCGTGGTGTTCACCACCACGGGGACCAGCACAGGGACCCCCACTCTGCTGGAGAGTGTCCCCCTGCCTCTGCTGGTTCAGAGCGTACAGCCAGGCTAGACGGGACCTACCTCGCTTCCCTGCCCCCACGTCAGGCCCTGTCACAGTGTCCTTTGAGTCCTCTTTTCCAGACCACTTGACTTCTCCAGGAGGAGAGGGCTCCAGTGGCTCCAGCTGGCCATCCAAAGTCCCTTCCCAGCCAGTCCCAACAAGGTCAGCCTGATGGCTCCCCAACCTCAGCCAGAGGGTTCCTTCCAGGCTGGCCATTTCCAGGGCTTCTCAGGGCTGATTGGGAATGGAGTGAGCTCTGATGTACTGACCAGCTGATTCCTGCAGCCCTTCGCTTCCACCTGAGTCCGTGGCCCCTGTGTGGGCAGCGTGGACTGGCACTTGGGGCCCCCGGGAGGGCTGGTGTCTGGTCCAGCTCCTCATGAAGGCTGCTTGGGGTCAGCAGGTCACGAATGCCTTGGGCGGCGGAGAGAGGGAGAGGCTGGCACAGGCAATGCCCCCACAGCCAGGCCCGAGACAAACCTGAACAGGACGGGGGCTCGGGTGTGGTTCAGATGGAGCGGCCAGAGCAGACCACCCCAAGAGGGGCACTGCAGCCCCCTAGGGGGGCTGGGGAGGGTGTTGGGGAGAGATACCAGGAAGGGATGGGCAGCATAGAGGCTGTGAGGGTTAGGGAGGTGTAGGGGGCTGCACTTCAGGTGGCCCCCAAAGGTGTGTGGAAACTGCATGGGCTAGACTGCCACTGGGGTCCTGTCCCTAGCCCTCCAGCATGTGTCACCCCTCCATCTGTCCCAGCTCCCCTGCTCCTTCAGCCCTCCTGAGCTCTGCTGGGATAGGAGGAGCATCAGCTGAGGTTATAATGTTTTAACCCTTGGGCAACCGTCTTCATGGCAGGTGGGGCAAGGGGGTCTCTGGTGTGGGGAGTTTGCCTCTACTATTGGTGTATGACTGTGTATGTGCGTGTGCCTGGGAGCCTGTCTGTGGGTAGGGTGTGTGCATCTGGGGGGCAGCCCATGTGTCTGAGAACAGTGTCTGAGGAATAGCCTGTGTCTGGGGATAGTATCTGGGGGACAGCCTGTGTGTCTGGGGACTGTCTGGGGGACAGCCTGTGTGTCTGGGGGACAGTGTCTAGGGGACAGTCCGTGTGTCTAGGGACAGTGTCTGGGGGACAGCCTGTGTGTCTGGAGGACAGTGTCTGGGGGATAGCCTGTGTGTCTGGGGACAGTGTGGGGGACAACCTGTGTGTCTGGGGACAGTGTCTGAGAGAGTGGGGGACAACCTGTGTGTCTGGGGGACAGCCCATGTGTCTGGGGACAGCGTCTGGAGATGGTGTGATCAGGTGGTTGTGTGGCACCTGAGTTCTGGGTGGTGGCTGGGAAGCCTGGAAGTGTAGGCTGGATATATGGGGTCTTCCTGGTTGCTGCCCCCTGACCCCTCCCCACACCCCCATTCTAGTATGTTGTCACAGCTTTGGGGATGGGGTAGGGCGGGAAGGAGAGAGGGAGGAGAAGGGGTGTGGTGGTCCTCTCTCTGCCTACCACATTGATGTTTAGCCCCCTTGAGGGGTGAGACCCAGCCCCAGCCTCCATTTACCCCCTCCACATGGCCATGTACATCCTGCCCATGGCCCCTGAAATTCCTCAAGGCTGTGGCTTGGGGCGCATGGAAGGTCAAGGGCTTCCTGGAGGTCGTGCTTGTGGGGAAGGTGCCTGTGCTGAAGGATCCAGAGGCTGCCCTGGAGCTGGTGGGAAACTGCCCCCGCGCCGCTCCCTGCACATCTTCCAGCTGCCCATCTGCCTCAGGTCTTGCCTCAGTTTGCCTCTGGCTAGGTGGGTAGGGCACCTGACCAGGTGGAACAATGGGGGCTTGTGTTTCCTGAGCTAAATATAGAGCCGTGGCAGTCACACTGGCGGCCAAAATCCCCAGGAATCTGGGGGGGCTCCCTCCGGTGAGCCTGCTGGGGTCTCTGCAGAGGCAGGGGTTGGAGGGGGCAGGGAAGGCCTGGCTCAGGGGGAGGGGAAAGGGGCTGTTTGCTTTAGGATAAGGCTGGCTCCGGCTGGGGCCTCTGGCTGCCTGCCTGCCTGTCCCCCTGTCATGCATGCAGGCCAGCCCTCGAGGCCACACCTCCGGTCCGTCTGGCAGTCACTGGGCTCTGTCCTCCTCTCTGCAGTGGCTGAGGGGGCCTGTGGCCTCTGCGGCCCAGTAGATGCCCCTGACCCCCACTCCTCACACCCTACTGCCTGGTACAGGGAAGGGGCAGGGCTGCAGGTGCCCCTCCTGGCCCCGGAAGTGCTGTTTGCTGGGTCCTCTTTCTGCCACTGATGCAGGCTTCTTCCAGGATGGGTCCAGGACAGGAAAGGCCGGGGAGAGAGGGACACCGTCTTAGCCCCCTACGCTTGCCAGGCAGTGTTTGGGCCTGTGTGGACAGCCAGTTGTCAGCCTGGGGGCAGGCTGAGGGGGTGCCCTTTCTGTCCTGCAGTCTGGGGTGCCCCTTTGAATAGTGGGATTGCAAGCAGTGACAGGTGTTGGACAGGGCCTGCCTGGGAGTAAGGCTGGGACCCTGGGCACGCCGGGGGGCCTCAGGAGACCCCCGCAACTGTCTCACTGTGACTTGGTGGGTGTCTGGGGGGCCCCATATGCAACTGAGAAATTTGGGAGAGGTAGATCCTAGCAGCTGCTTGCTGGGGCCCTGGGGGCCTGGTGAAGAGGGAGCTGGCTGAGAGTGCACGGATGGCCTGGGGCCCATGTTAGGAGCCCCATGGCAGGAATGGGGGGATCCCTAGCAGAGGTAGAAGCGTTCCTGGGGGTGTGCTTGGTGGGGTGGGTGGGAGGGTGGGTGGGGCTGGGTAGGGCCCTCCCCCACCTCAAGCTCCCTTTTCACCAGTGGGCATAGAGGGCACAGAGGGAAGGGCCTGCTGTTGCTGTGCCCCTGCTGTGCCCCCCAATCCTCCGTCCCCCTAGCAAAGCCGGGCCCCTCCCTGCCTAGACCCTGGGCTGTCAGCTCTCTCCATCCAAATGGGGGCCAGCACCCCCTGCCCTCACCGTGAGCAGACCAGTGGTGTGGGGCTACACTCCGCAATGGTCCTCTGGGGCTGGGAAGTGGTGCACAGGAAGCTGCCAGGAGCCTCTGGAAAGCCCAGGGACACGCTCTGGGTCCTGGAGGGGAAGGCTAGCAACACAGCCAGCTGGTACCTACACACCATAGAAACACCAGCTGGTTCTTGAGAACACGTGCTGCCCGCAGGCCCCATAGCTGTGCATCTCAGGGCGGCCGCTGGCCAGCTCCTCTGGGAGGCCAGGACGCAGGATTCAGGCCATCCAGGCCCAAGTGGCCACGGTGTGGAGTGAGCACCCCGGGCCAACAGCTAGAGGGCAGGATCCTGGGAGCTAGGCCCCGAAAGGGCAGCGGGGTGCCCGGAGACATCTGTCCTGGTCTGGTGGTACGGTCAGCGGGGCGAGTATAAGGGCTCAGCGCCCCCTGAGGTCGCCCCAAGGTGCAGGAGACTTGGGGCTTGGCCAGGATGCGACCCCACCTCTCTGGGATGCCTGCAGTGTCCTCTGCAGCCGGCTCGCCGTGCCTGCTGGCCCTGCACCCAGGAGGCACCGAGGCTGGCCGTGAGCTGGGACAGGTCTGGGAGTGGATTTCTTCCCGCTGGTGACTTGGGCTTCTCCTATTGGGGGACAGTGGTCAGGGGGCTACCAGCCAGACAGGAACCCTGCTGCTTGCCCTTGGACCCCAGGGACTCAGGGTCATGCCGCCCTATCGTGCCACTCTGCCCAGCCTCCTGCCAAGGTGCCGCTGGCATTAGGGAGTCCCTTGGCCAGGCACACATAGCTGGGCACTGACCGGACCATGAGACACATCTGTTTGTGCTACACGGACTTGGTGCTGTGTGCCTTGCCTGTGGGGAGTACATGGGGGTCCATCCTGGCTCGCCTGTGGACGCGCAGCCTGGATGAGCCGCTCTGGCCCCTCTCTATCCTGGCTCCTCCGTGACATGATGTGACGGCACATCCGGGGAGCTCAGATCCCGGCAGTGGCGGGATCTGGGAGACTGCTGACCCCTGCGGGCTGGGGCCAGGACCCAGGGCTTCAGACCCCCGCTGCCTGGGCTGGGCAGGCAGGCAGCTGACGGGGCTCCCACTCACAGGCCTGCCTGCACTCCTGACCACTGGCTACCCGCCCCTCCCTGACTGAGCCCTCTGACCCACCCACAGGCCCCCCAAGGATGGCAGACAAGGTGGTTCCAAGGCAGGTGGCCCGGCTGGGCCGCACTGTGCGGCTGCAGTGCCCCGTGGAGGGAGACCCACCGCCGCTGACCATGTGGACCAAGGATGGCCGCACCATCCATGGCGGCTGGAGCCGCTTCCGGGTGCTGCCCCAGGGCCTGAAGGTGAAGGAGGTGGAGCGGGAGGACGCCGGCGCCTATGTGTGCAAGGCCACCAACGGCTTCGGCAGCCTCAGCGTCAACTACACCCTCATCGTGATGGGTCAGTGATGCCCACGCTGGGGCCATGCCGTGTGAGCCCAGGTCCACGTGAGCCCGGGAAGCAGACCTTCCCTGTGCGGCCCCACCCCACCCCAGTGCTGCTACCAGGAGGAGACCCACCTGCCTGCCTCCTCTAAGCCCAGGACAGGGGCCTGACCTCTGGGACCACCACCCCCAGCCTGGGCCCTCCTCCTCAGGCCTGTGCCGCGGGGTCCCCAGAGCCTCTGCTGACGGGGAGACTCAGGCTGGCTAGGGGGTGGCAGGAGTGGGCATGGGAGAGCCCCAGGGTGGTGGTCTTGTGAAGGGCCGGCTGGGAGGCCAGGCCTTGGCGTCGGCTCTGACTTTGAGGCTCAGATTTCAGAGTTCAGAGGGGCCGCCAAGGGCCTTGTGTTCTCTTCTGCCTCTGGGGCTCTGGTGTGGGGGCTGGAGGGGTCCCCAGAGACACACCCGTGGCTCGCTGGTACCGGGAGGGCTCCTGGGCTGGGTGCCTGGAGGTGGGGCTCCCTGGCAGCCATGGCGCCCCATCTTGCAAAGGGGGCGAGCTTGATCTGTGCAAACCCCTCCCTGGGTCCCTGGCTGGGTGGAGGAGGCTGTGACAGGAAGGGCATTCCTTGGCCTGCCCCACCCCCACTGGGCCCCCTGCTCTGGATCGTGGAATGGGAACACGGCTGGTGTCCCCCCCCCCCACTGTCCTCTGAGAGGGGAGGGTGACGAGGCGGTATGTGAGCCATGTCAGCTCTCCAAGGCCTCGGCCCCCTTGATGTGGGCTAGGGTTACCGCAGCTGCCGGGCGGGCCCGGCCCCCTCCTCCCACTGGGCCTGCAGACCCCCCGGAGCCGGGGGGGCTCTGTTGGGGTCACCTGCACCCAGGCAGTGGGCTGGGCGGGCAGCTCTTGCCCAGCTGTCTCTGGGATTCTGAGAGGTGGGTGTGCCCTGGGGGCGCGCATGTGTGTTTGCAGAGCTCTCCCAGCTGGGCTGGAGGCCAGGGCCTGGGAACCAGCCTGGGGTCGGGGGGGGGGCACTGTTGGGGCCCCCCTCACTTGCTGTCCTCTCTGCAGATGATACTGGCGCAGGAAGGGAGCATCTGGGGCATGACGGTGCCTCCGGGGGCCAGGAGGATGCAGCCAGCAAGCAGTGGGGTGAGAGGGGGTGGGCATCGCCATCCTCCCTGGGCATGGGTGGGGGTGGCCTCCCAGTGTCCTGCTTACCCGCGTGCTGGTCATTCCGCAGCACGGCCCCGCTTCACGCAGCCCTCCAAGATGAGGCGTCGTGTGATCGCTCGGCCTGTGGGCAGCTCCGTGCGGCTCAAGTGCGTAGCCAGTGGGCACCCACGGCCCGACATCATGTGGATGAAGGACGACCAGGCCCTGACGGGCCTGGAGGCCGGGGAGCACAGGAAGAAGAAGTGGACACTGAGCCTGAAGAACCTGCGTCCTGAGGACAGTGGCAGGTACACGTGCCGTGTGTCCAACCGCGCAGGCGCCATCAATGCAACCTACAAGGTGGATGTGATCCGTGAGTGCAGGGGGCTGGGGCCAGGGTGGGGGTGGGGTGGGGGCGGCCCAAGGTGGCGCCGACGACCCGCTGTGTCTCCATGCAGAGCGGACGCGCTCCAAGCCCGTCCTCACGGGCACGCACCCCGTGAACACGACCGTGGACTTTGGGGGCACCACATCCTTCCAGTGCAAAGTGCGCAGCGATGTGAAGCCGGTGATCCAGTGGCTGAAGCGTGTGGAGTATGGTGCCGAGGGCCGCTACAACTCCACCATCGATGTGGGCGGCCAGAAGTTCGTGGTGCTGCCCACGGGGGATGTGTGGTCGAGGCCCGACGGCTCCTACCTCAACAAGCTGCTCATTGCGCGCGCACGCCAGGATGATGCCGGCATGTACATCTGCCTGGGGGCCAACACCATGGGCTACAGCTTCCGCAGTGCCTTCCTCACCGTGCTGCCAGGTGCGCCCCCTCCCTGCTCCCACCCTGGCTACACGAGGCGCCACGCGAGGCCACGGGCTGGCCGGTCGTGCGCGGGCTGTCCCAGGACCCGTGGCGACATTGCTCTCCCCACCCCCGTCCTTGGCCTCTCTTGCAGACCCCAAGCCACCAGGGCCCCCCGTGGCCCCCTCGTCCTCGACCACCAGCTTGCCATGGCCCGTGGTCATCGGCATCCCGGCTGGCGCCGTCTTCATCCTTGGCACCGTGCTCCTGTGGCTCTGCCAAGCCAAGAAGAAGCCGTGCACACCCGGGCCCACCCCGCCTCTGCCTGCACACCGCCCGCCCGTGGCCGCCCGCGACCGGGCCGGGGACAAGGACCGTCCCATGCCCCCCAGCCTCGGCCCTGCCCCTGGTGTGGGGCTGTGCGAGGAGCTCGGGCCTCCAGCGGCACCCCAGCATCTGCTGGGCCCGGGCCCATCTGCCGGGCCAAGACTTTATCCCAAACTCTACACGGATGTGCACACGCACACACACACACACACGCACTCGCACACGCACTCGCATGTGGAGGGCAAGGTCCACCAGCACATCCACTACCAGTGCTAGCCAGTGCCACAGGGTGGGGCTCCTCCCACTGGCCCTGCGGGGCCCGGTTCGGGGCGGCGGGCCCATGGGGGGCAGGTGGCTACGCAGAGAGCTGGGGCCTAGGCAGGAGGCACAGTCAGCACCCTGGGGCACCCTGGGTGACAGACACATACCTCTGGACACACACACACACACACACCCCCACACACACACACCCTCAGACTAAGATACCTGGGAAGGTCTGTGCCGGCAACTTTGCAGTGTGCATGTAGCAATGGGCTAGTTGATGAAGGAACCCCTCGCCCCATGAGGAGGGTTCCACAGGGGCCACGGTCAAGCCACCCCTCCCTGCGCCTGGCAGGGGGTCTGAGAGGACCCTGGCCAAACCCCCGAGGCCTGTCCCATGCCGACTGCCATGTCCCTACCCAGGCCTCCACCAGTGGCTGGCTGTGTTTGCCAGTACCTGTCCGGGCATTCCCCAGGCTCCCGGACTGGGAGGTCAGGCAGAGCAGTCTTGGCTCCTGCCCTGAGAGGCTGGAGCCCCCTGGGGGTGACCCTGCCCTCAGCAGAGCGAAGGGCCCTTGATATTTATATTTAAGAAAAGAAAATAATAATATTAATAATGCTGGAAGGAAGGTGTACCACAGAGCCTGCCTGACCTCAGGCCCGGGACACACCTGGCCTGCTGGCCAACTGGATGGCCGCCTCAGGGCCGGGCACCTTTGCCCCACTGCCTGTGGCAGCCCCAGACCTCTGTAATTTTATATAGAGTTTGAGCTGAAGCTTCGTATATTTAATTTATTTTGTTAAACAAGAAAATGTGCATCCTCTTCCATTAAGCTGATGTTTCTGCCTTTGGCTTGTGTGTGTGTGCATGTGTGTGCGGGCCTGGGTCTGTGTACAGGTGTGTGTGCGGTCCTGGGTCTGTGTACAGGCGTGTTTGTGGGCCTGGTCTGTGTACAGGCGTGTTTGTGGGCCTGGTCTGTGAACAGGCGTATGTGCCCATGTGTGCTTATGCCTGTGTACAGCTGTGTGTGTGGCCATGCCTGTGGGCCTGTGTGGCAGGCCCAGGCTCCAGGAGTCCTGTAGTTGGCCTAAGATTCTGGGATGACACCTTGGGGTCCCGGGGCCCCGTCAGCTGCCCTGAGCTGGACTCAGGTGGCCGTGTTTGGAGCACTGACTGACTCACACCCCTGCAAGCAGCTCCCTAGCTAGCTAGAGTCCTGCCTGGTCCAGTGGATGTCCCGTCTCTTACCCGTATGGCCCTGAGGGCCCTCAGTGTAGGGCCTGTGGTTTCCCTGCCCCACACTCTGGGGCTTCAGCTGGTGGCCTCCGAGGACTGGGGCCTCGTTGTCATCCCTGTCCTGGTGCCTGCCACCTAGAGGATTCAGTCCCGAGTCTGCCAGCCACTATTGGGCCATGAACCATGGTCTCACTCCAGCTGCGGACCCTGAGCCTGGGACTCACTGCGCCTTAAGAAAAGGCACTAAGATAATATGATTTTAGCAAAGCCACTCATTTGAGGTGCTTTGGGTCCCCAGAGCCTCGGAAGGCCTGGCTGAAGGAATGGGGCCTTGCTGGTGTTTGGGGCACTGGAGGGAACACGAATAGGTTCTGCCCAGCTCTACAGGCCAGGACACTCACCACCCTACCTGGTTCTGCTGGTTCCTTGCAGCCAGAGCTCCCCAAGGTCAGAGCCAAGCCTCCCCTGGTCCCTTCTCCTCAGCAGAGGGCAGGTCTGGGAACCCTGTCCTCTGGTGTCTGGGGCTAGGTCCCATCCTCTGGCCCTCTTCCACTGGGCCCCTTGGCCTCCCCAGGATAGACCCCACTCTTTCTGCCCCAAGGAGGTAGGGGCTAGCTGTAAGGGAAGGCGCACTGGGGCAATCCTGATTCCATAGGCAGTGACCGAGCCTGGGCAGGGCTGGTGGCGGCCAACTTCAGGGGACACCATGGGAAGCCAGCTGTGGCAGCTCTGCTGGGCAAGCAGGGGGAGCTGTGGGGGCTTCAGGCAGCCACAGCTGGTGACCAGCTGATGCTCTCCAGACAGGACAGGCTGTGGGGGCTAGAGCCCGGATGCGTTTCTCTCCCAGGTGGGGGTGGGATGGAGAGTCAGCCTTGGGTGGCGGGGAGAACTCAGGCTACGGGACATCCATAGGCCATGGGAGTGAGCCGTTTCCCTCGCCCCCCCGCACCTGGGAGGGTACAGCTCCTGCCCCCCGCCTGGACCTCCAAAGGTGCCTGTGCCCTTCCTAGCTAAGGTCCAGTGTCTCTGCCTGGGCCTCACATGGGAACTTCCCCTGTCTTCTGTCCCCAAGGAGTTCTGATGGTCCATCTCTCAGGGGCAAGACAGGTCCGGCAGGGCCCTGGGTCCTGGCTCTCACTGAGACCAGCAGCCCTGGGCTCCATACCCCCTGTGCCCTTTCAGGGCTTCTGAGGGGAGGCAGGCACTGAGGGACTGGTGACTCAGTGAATACATGGGGACCCTGCCCTGTCTCCCTGAAGCCCTATGTGTTCATTACCACACCTGGGGCTCAGGGCCCTCAGCTGCAGCCTGTCCCACAAAGACCTCAGCCTCCTGCTCTAGGGGTGACCACATGGGTCCAGACCCCTCTCATGCCCTTTTCAGGGGCCACCTGTGGCTTCCAGAGCTTTCTCCCTTGGCCCCACCCTGTAGTTCTGCTCTCCTGGGATGTCTCCCGCTCTGTGCTGCCTCCCGCTCTGTGCTGCATGACCCCTGGGAGATTTCAGGGTCTACCTGGGTAATCCTTTTACCCTGACTTCTGTCCCCTCTGTTGCAAGGTCCCATTTTGAGTCCCCCCCATATTGTAGGGACCACCCTGTGCCCCACACTCCCAGGATAGAATCTCGTTTCCTACACACCACATGTGGGGGCATCGGAGGGGACAGCAGTGTGGACAGACCGTGGGGTCCAGGGCATGGGGGAGGGGTGAGACTGGGGAGAGTAGACGCTAGGCCGGGTACAGGGGCTATGAAAGATGGGGGCCCCAGGGGTCCCAGGGCTGGGCCTCCTCGAGCAGACCTCTGGTGGCTAACTAGCAAAGGAGCTTCTCTTGGAGCCTGGCCTTTCTGCCCATCCCACCCTGCTCCTGAGCCCATGCCTCTGCCCTGTGGGTGCCGGTCCCCCCTTGGGGACTCCCAGGTCTGATGCAGGGGGATAAGACTCAGCTGGTATTAAGGGCAGGGTCCCCCACCCAGGATGGGGCCCTAGGGACAGAGAGAGGGGGTGGGGTGGTGGGCTTCCCCTGTCCCCCCATGGCCCCTACTGCTTGGGCAGAAAGGTCAGCAGGCAGCCGTCGGGGCTCTGGGGACCACCAGCAAGGACACAATAGCTGGTGTCCCCAGCTTTGTGGGGTTCTCTGTGGGGCGGGCCCGGGCCCTACCCTCGGAGCTCCCAATTTGGAGGCAGAGGAGAGGGACCCAGCTGTGTCCTCAGAGTGACCCCCGGCCATGCCAGGCTGGACAGGGACTTCTGACAGGCCACTTCAGGAGGCCACTGCTGGCGTCCTTGGTAGGGGCACGGCACACAGCGGGTAGAGCTCCAGTACTGAGCCAGGCTACAAGCTTCCCCCCGATCTGTTCCCGGGTGGTGATAAGCCGGTCCCTCCAAGCCCAGAGTACTTGAAAGGGCGGCTACCGCTCTGACACTTTGGGCACGAGCCCCCCCAACACGCACCCTTCCTGGCCATCCTGGCTTCAAAGGGGAGTCTCATCCCACAGCTGTCCAGGGTTGGGGGGGGACCCAGGCTGATGAGAATGAGGGGGACGTGGGACAACCCCACCCGCACAGGACTTGGGACAGCCTGGCAGGAGATCAGAGTCTTGTCCTGGGGTCAGGCCAGGGGACAGGGACAGGAATGCAGGATATGGGACACAGGAGAGGTGTCAGGAACATGGGACATGCAGTCAGGACACAGGATGGGGACAGCCATGGCCTGGACTCAGAACCCGGAGCTAAGAGCCCACAGGGGATGGCCAGGCTGCCCCTGCTGCTGACGCTGGGTTTTGTGGGGCTTGGAGGATCCTGGTCTTGTGGCAGGGGCTGTGGGAGGCAGGGTGTGATGTGGGGACCCCCATAGGGCCACCCCTGCTTGGGGAGCTAGGCCTCCTGGCTGGACTTGGTGTCCCAGGAGCCCACGGCGCTTAATAGAGCCCCTGCCACATCCAGGGAACCCATGGAAGGGCTTGGCTGGGTGGAGGGGGCAAGGGTGGGACCTGTTGGCCGGGGCGCCCTCTGTGTCCTGTGCTGACCCCACCGTGTACCTAGCCCCACATGGCCACCCTGGCTGGGGAAGCTGGGGCTCAGATGCTCTCCTGGAGGGCTTGGGTGATGTAGAGTCCTTGGGTTTGGGGTTTACTTTTAGGCCTCATGACAGTGTCTCTGGGGAAGTATTTGGCCAGGACCATGTCTGGGGATGCTGATGGAAGGCCTACTGGAGCTCAGAAACCCTTGGTGACCCAAAGGCAGGGCTAGCCTGTAGTGGCCCCCAGGGCTGGTGGGATCTGTGACAGGACCCCCTCCCCAAGGCCATACCTCCAGCCCCCACACTGGCCTCTGAGGGGACTTGGCCTGTGGGAGCAGAGGGCAGGGTCAGGGGGTGAAGGTGGGGTAAAGGAGGGAGCAGAGAGGGTCTACACTCCTCCTACCCGGTGAAGACGACAAGACAGAACAGGAGCCCCAGGGGAAATGTCCATCCAGCTCTGGTGGCTCTGGGTCCTAGCAGGATGGCCGCAGGCCTTGCACAGAGCCCTCACACTGTCTGCCCCCCTTACAGATAGGCCTGGTCCCTGTGGCGTGAGTATGCAGCCCAGTGGGGGCTTCTGGGCCAGTCCCTCACCATGACCTCTGGCACCGTCCCTCAGGCATCCCCACCCCATCCTGGGACGAGCCCAGGGGCAGCTCTGGCTTCCAGCACTGACAACCCAGCCCTGCCCGCTTGAACCTGTGAAGGTGTGCGCTGTCCCTTTGGAGATTCAGCTCTGTCCTGTCAGCAACCCCAGGGCCCCCCACCCTACCCTGCCCTGCG